AATTTTGTACATCACTCTTTAAATACATTTCTAAAATTAAGATAATTCAATAGAAAGTTATTAGTTATAACCATATCAAGTGCATGATGTAAATTAGGGCATTAAAATTGAGTAATTAAATAATACGAGTACTTATCACTAGTCTTTATATTATACCTACACATTTAAGATAAATAGCATGTTGAGTAACTAAGTAATACTTTATAATTACTATATTTTGATATTTATATAAGAAAAAGTATGTTTGCATTGAGTCTTTTTAAGATAAATTAAAAATTATTTATAGATATTATTTGTTGGATTTTAAGAAAATTTAGATTCTTTCTTTAGATCTTTCTTTGTAAAAACTAATGATTATTTATTAGAAATACGATTTAGGTTTAAACCCAAAGGTACAATTTAACGGTTCAATCTCTAAATCGTACCGAAAAATACTTTATCGAATTTAATTTAGACAATAATCTAATGTTTATTTTCATTAAAATGTCGTTTTGTTTTAGTACTAATGAATCAAAGTTTGATGTAAGTACAAAGATATTCTGATTGCTTTAGTGCTTTTGTTACAATTTTATTTAAACATTAAGAAGTACGATATAGGCGATATTCCCTCTATATGTTTCAGAAAAAGATATCTTTTTAAAAAGATATAAAGTTTATTAGGCAATTATTTTATTACATATTCTTATTGTTATTAATGTGAAAAGACTAATTTAACGATGTTATAATGATATATCAGAAAAATTTTTTTATGTAACTCTCTCGAGAGATTATTTTTATATTTATAAGTAATATTAATAAATATACATATAATGGTAGTAAAAAAAATTTTTGATAAGTTAGCTGTAAATGAATGTATGTATTAGAAACGCATTCATAATTCCTAATAAAATTATTATACTTAATATATACCATACTTTGTAAAATCAAGCTTCAAAATTCGTTTAGAGAAATATTAAACAACAAAAGTCCAGAATATGACAATGGAAAGTTTGAACTAAATTGTGACAATAGAAAAATCAATATCATTATACATAGCTTTCTGTTATAAACATTAATCATATGAAAGTAAAACATGTAAATTATATTACAATTTCTTTCTGTCGTAGCGTAAATTAATACAGAGAGGTCATTATAGTTTGTATTTAAAATTCATGTCGCAATGTGCCGATGCAAGTGTTGTTTCACGCTTTAACCAATTAGCTTCTCATTAAATCCAAGCTACTGACTCAATTAAATCAGTGGCCAATCTGAAATTTTTCCGTGCGCTTTTTTGGCGAGAATTGATATGGAAAATTTGCGAATGCGCAACCAGACTATTCCGTGTGTTGTGACAATACGCAATCGTGTGTTGTCGAAACCGCAGCTTCAATTATATCATAAACGGAATTTGATGCTATGTATTTTGTTTGAGTATTAAATCACGCCGCACGAGAGTATAGCCGCTCGTTAAGTAGAATTAAAACCGGAAGCGACAGAAGAGAGAGAGAGAGAGAGAGAGAGAGAGAGAGAGAGAGAGAACATTGTACGATTTAACGACCATCGATTATCAACACGAGTTTAAATTGAGCGCGAATACAATTATCCTAGCAGATTTTACAATCTCGTTAGACATATCTTTTTCACTGGATATGTAACAGATTTAATTTCGTACAAACATTCGCCGGTGGATAATATCTCTTCTTTGCGCTGATGATCCTTTAGGCAACAATGTTTCGTAATTGCAGACATTGCAGTGATAAATAAATTTCGTGGACCAAAATTTTTGTTTTGACAGAGTAAGGTTAACGAAAATATACATTAAAAAAACAATTGAAAATAATAATTTCCATAAAAATGATCCTGGATCCTGGTCGCTATGTGAATTTTTTATATCGTATCATAAATTATTATATTACCTTTTATGCAATCCGTTGAAGAAAATTATAAAAAATGTATTATTATTTTTAATAACAAATTATTTTAGTAGTAATGATCCAGATAACGCTAAATATATTCCTAAAATATTCGTAAAAAATTCCTAAAATCCTAAAAAAAAAACATTTCAAGAGTATTCCTGATTATTTCAAAATATTTACGAAATGTAAAAACAACATTCAAATATCGATTAAAAATTCTATTTATATATTATTACGTATTCCAAGAATGTTCCATATATAGAACTAAAGATGATATTTATTATTAATAAAAAATATGTAGTATAATTTTTAAAAGAATAATTAAGTTTAAAAGTAATCTGAATAAATAAATTTTGTGGTAATTAATCAGCATAATTAAAGGAAACATAAAAGAACAATATGCATAACATAACTTCATTAATAATTTTCAAATAATATGTGTATAATAGATACGTAATCACTAGAAATATACAATTATATGTTATTTAAATATTTAATAAGAAACGTTAACAATGAAATCTGATATAAGATCACAATATCAATTACTGCTGTTGCATTTAGGTTACGTCGAGATTAATTTATAACATGGAAAAACAGAAAAAACTGTAACAACAATCCCGTCACAACTAGCTTCGACTTGCCACATTTACATATTTTAATCTTGTTTAAGCAAAAAATATATTTCAAAACATAAATATAACTGTAAGTAATTACTTATAAAATAAAGATTCTAAAGAAATAGTTAAAATTATGATATAAACAGAGTGATAAATATAACATTTAATATATCTGATTTATTGTTTTACTATCAAAAAAAGAAAATATTTTCTTTTTCTGATAAACCGCTTTTTTATCTGAAATAACTCATTGCACTATGATCGCAACATTTTTGCGGAAATATTATTTTTATGTAATATTATAGTTTGTTATTTTGTAGTAATTTTAAATGTATCAACATACCCCGCGTATTAATTATCCCCATTCTCTCAAATATTAAGAGATAAAAAATAATTAAGTCGTCATGACCAAAAAAAAATATAAGTTCTTACATAGAAAAAAGAAAAACAAGAAAAAGATAAAAAAATTGAAAGGGCAAATCCTATTTCCGTTGGTGGATATTCGAAAATGAAGTAGCCGTTGGTTAAAGACGAAGACAGATCGTAATCCTGGGAATACGTGAGGCGGAAGTCTGATTTCTTAAATAGAATTCCAGGACTCGCGGGGCCTGGATGAAAAATTTACCCAAGATCTTCTTAGGGTAGCTACTCTGTAAACAATGATAAACTACATGATAAACGAGGTATACATGGATTCAAAGCATGAAGCAATTTGAAAAGTCGTTAATTCTTTGCTGGATCTTATTAAAATCAATTAATGCTTTCGAAAAAAATAACTTATCATAAAATATCCAAAAATATTCTGTTCGAAAATTATAAATAAAAAATAATCATCTTTTTATATATGGATGTTTAAATAGATTTTTTTTATTATTTAATTAAGTTTTAATTTAAAATTTTTTTTAATGCAATCAAAAATATATAAAATGTAATTAAAAATGTCTATTATTCTTCTAAGTGAAATATGTAGAAAATATTGAAATTTAAGTGTGATATACTATTTCATATGTTTCTTGTTAAACTTTAAGAATTCTTATTTAACATTAAAAAGATTAAGTAATCCATTTTTAAGGAGAGGTTTCGACAATTAAGCAACGATCAGAAGAAACGATCTCTCTCTCTCTCTCTCTCTCTCTCTCTCTCTCTCTCTCTCACTCTCTCTCTCGGACCACTTTTATCCCCACTGTTTCCATCCCTCATTCTCCCTCTTTCCTAAAATCAATAGGTATGTCGCCGCGTCGCGCCGTTCGTCATACTATGTATTTATTGCAACGTATTTTGCGAAGTATTTATATATAAATGCAAAGTACTTTATAATAAATCTTATTTGATGAAAATATAAAAATTCAGAATAAATTTGCATGAATACATTATTATAAACTTATATAAATTAACAGTTAAGTATTGTAATAGTTACGTGATCTGTGAAACACTAATTCTTTTGCAAAAACGATTCACAACTTCGCTATAAACATATTCTAAACCTGACCAATATTTGAAAGAAAAATAACTTTCTCATGGGAATATAATAATTTTTTCATCAGCTGCAGTTACGATAACGTCGTTACTAATTATTTTCATTCTACTCAAACAATGTTTACATGCCGTGTGCCAATGGTTCGTCATCCGTAAAACCGCGCGCACGATTCGTTCAGTAAACTGGGGGCGATGCCTTTGTCTCCTTCGCGAATTAATTTCAAGGGCGAGGACCTTTTATAACAGACCTTATATCCGCGAACCCTGTTTAAACAAAGAGCATCTTCGTATAACTTACCGTTGCGTGAAATACGATGTCAAAGGGAGGAAGTTCCTCTTTTGGAAAGACATGCGGACTTACTGAGGTTTAAACGCGTGAAAAAGGAGGAATAAAAATATCCCCTGAAAATTTAATTTCCAAGAATGCAAAATATATCTCTTTTTTGTTTCAAAGAAAGAATGGAAGATGTAGAAAATAATTTGTTGATTGTTATCTCTAATAGATAACTAATGTTGATAGATTAATAAAAATTTAACAAAATTTTTATCACAATGCTACATATATAATATATTATCTTTAAAAATAAATCTATATAAGTATTTATTCTTTTTTATATTCGAGTTATTTATATTTTTTAAATATATTTCTGTAGAATAATGAAATACTAGATCAATAATTTATTCTGCAGAGTAATGGAAGAAGTTTTAATTAGTAAAAATATAATTTTTCATCTAAATTGATAGAACTTCTAACATTTTCTATTATTCAAAATTAATGTAAAATAGTTATATAATTTAAAACGTATTTTCATAAAATAACTTGCATTTCAATCAATATTTAGTTGATAACGAAGGAACCGTTGAATAACAATAAGCATTTATCGGAAAAAAAACCCATTTTATGACTTTTACCATACTTTGATAAATTACCTACAATAGATCAATAAAGTCAGATTAATCGAGAGGCAGCGCTAAACAATGCGCACACAAACCCATGAAGATAAAAAACCCATAAAGGATAAAATAATGTACAATAAATAATACATGAATTCAACTAACAAACGAAACTCCAAATAATCATCGAATATATTTTTCGATGTCAATATTTTTATGATTCTTGGAGCAAAAAAATATTCGTGCCGTAATATTTATCATCATCAGGGCTAAGTAATATATTTAAAATAATTTCATTTTAAATATGTATTTAAAATAAAAATGGCATTTTGCATTTTCTATTTTAAATGATTTTTGAAAAATCATTTTTATTTTACATTTGAAATGGAATCATGTTTATCATTTAATCATTTATAAAATAAGTAAATAGTTTTTCTGTTTTTCTATGTTTATTTACTGACCATGAATTACGAACATTTGAAGTTCCGTAATTTTTTCCAACTTTTCTGCTGTACCGCTTTTTCTTTGAATAAGTGTATTTTTAAAGAGAATTTACGGATATACTGATCCGTTGTATATTTGTCTCATATCTTATATTTTATTTACGACAGGTTCGACAAAATGATTGAGATGTTATACTTGTGCAGGGATCTTGGTATTATAGAAGTTACAGTTTATGCATTTAATATACTTTAAATGTAGCAAAGAAGTTATATAATGGTTTCATAGACCTTGCCAGGCAGAAGTTCAAATGTCTCTTAGAAGAGAAGTATGTGTTAATTATTATTCATTATTATTATTAATACTGTTCTATTTTAAGACTCACAATTCATGATCTGTTTGGTCTTTTAGAGATCGCATGCAACATCATGCATATATGTTAACAAATCTTGATGCTCTTTTTTGACACGCCATATATTGAGAATATCCTCCTTTGGTAAAATTAAATAGTGAAATTACGCTTTAGGATATTTATCTTTGATAACAACTATTTTATCATCTTCTCTGATTTTACATTCAGGATCCTCTATTGATTTAAGTAAATTAGCTGACTAATGATGTTTTTTGCAGTCGCTATTTCATTAGTTGTGGCTTTACGTTTTATTATCGCAGTTATAAATCGTAGTCGTTGAATGATGCTGTCAGACCTATCTAAATCATAACCTCATTTACCTAAAAAAAATATATATAAATTAATATATTAT